TGTGGCTCTGGGTTCAGATGAGTTCGTCCCCTACTGCTGGGCCTTGCAGGGTTGGAAACTTCCTGCCATGCTAGTGTTGCATACCCAGACCGGCGGGTAGATTCGAACGGTGGGTTTTATTGTAGCCTTGGAGCAGTTAACCAGCGCTACCGTAGGCAACATAGTCTAGTGTGCATCCCTGCTGTCCCAGGCGCTTCTGCGTACAACACATCCCTCCCTCCAAAGCCAACGGGCTGCGTGTGCTCCGTCTCGCTCCTGCAGGTACTGTTACTGAGTATGCCACCAGGTACTTTCCAGTTCACTCAAAGAGAGGATAGAAAGTTGGTCTTGAATGAGGGGTCAGAAGAACGGGGTTCCTGGCCTCACTCTGTCCTTGATCAAATACCCCTGGTGATGCCCCTCGAATGCTGCGCCCCAGCACAGGGAGCTCTGCTGCTCCGGTCCAGGACGATCTGCGGGGGGCTGAGAGATCCTCCACAGCTGCGGAGGACATGCAGCGGGGGGTTGTGAGCTTTTTGGCTGGTGTTTGCAGTAGCATAAGGATCCTTCCTTCCTACCAGGGATCTTCCAGCCCGTTTATGCAGGGGTGAAGGGATATGTGGGCGTGTAGGACAATATTTCCCTCCACCGGCTTGAGAAAGCATCAACCTGAGTGTGTGTCCACACTGGGTGACAGTGCGAGTGACACGGCATACCCAGACACAGGGGAAGCAATGGCTGGTAATGCCATTTGAAGGCTGTCTCTTGAGAAATTTCACCTGCTACACAAAGCCGTGGGTTTATTTCTGCCTGTGAGTTGAGATTGCTAAAAGTCCCGTTGCTCTGCAGGGCCGGTTAAGCTCCGGGTCTCCTATTGAGTGTCCCCATGTGAAGAGTGGAGGCATTTGCTGTTAATCTGCCTGATCTTTGTAAATCGATTAGCAGATCTGCCTAGAAGGGGCGTGCATGTGGGGCTGATATTTAGGTGTATGGGGTGCTTAACACGTGGTGACCGTGCAGGGAGGGAGAGCGGCGGTGGAAGCCCCAAGTTCTGGCTCTAGCTCTGGCAGTGACTTTCTCTGCAGCTTCGGGCATCTCCTTCATCTTCCTTTGTGTCAATGGGGAGGGCAGTGTAAGAGCCAATGTTTGCAAAGAGCTTGAAAGAGGGAAAATGCTCATTATTCACAGCTTGCTGCCCCTGGCATGGACATCCTCTGTGAGGCCTTAGCGCAAATCTAAGAAGAACGGTCCTCCTGCGATGCAGGATGTGACTTTCAGGTGCCCGAACCAGCCCTTCTCTATTATTGTTGACATCCTGGCAGTGCCCAGAAGCCCCTGCCAAAGTCAGGGCTCCATCCTGGTAGCATGTAGCAGATGACAGACAGGAGCCTGCAATCTAAGCCGGTTGGACAGACAAACAGGGGTGCCAGCCCCATGCGACTGCAGCATGCGTGCACAAACCTGCGCTAGCTTCCAGCTCGCTTGCCTGGATATGAGGGCAGATGCTTGCCTGGGACCCTGGGGACTTATGTGGGCAGCTGGCCCATGCTGGAAAGATGAAAACCAGCTTGGACATGGCTGCATCAATGGTCACATCCCTGCCCCGGCGACTGCAGCATAGATGTACCCAGAGGGCAGGAGGGAGGAGACTTAAGGCCAGGGTTTGCTTAAGAACTGGGCACCCACTGCTGGAGCTGGATTTCCCAGCTGTTGGCATCTGAAGCACAGGTTTCTTTGGGAAATCCAGCCCCACTGGTCTGGCAGACTAATGAAACCCCAGCTCGCAAGCCCGGTCTAAGGGCTTGCCAGGTGTCTGTGCTAGCTGCCGTTGGACCCCAGATCTCCCAGGTCCCAGCCTGACAGCCAAGTGCAAGACCCTCCCTCCTCTTTTTTTTTTTCCTGAGCCATCTCTGAAATGCCTCTCCAGGGCTCGGCAGCAGTTTTGCCCTCAGGCTTCCCTTGGCACATGTAGCACAGAGCCCTTGGCCCTCCCACGAGACTCTTCCTGGTCATCAACCCCCAGTATTACCTGCACAGCAGTTGGACTCTGAAGCCAGTGCTGTGGTCTTCCCCTGCCCAGTGGGGGCTTCGTTGCTTAAAGCAGTAATAATCAGGCACTTGTTTGGTGGACGCATCTGTGTGAGCCCCTTGGATGCTGTAGTATCGTGTCCATGTCAGTAGGAAGCAGGCTGTGGCGTCTTTTGTGCAGCAAATGCATCATCCCGGCCTGGGGAGCAGGTTGCAGCTGGCTGGATTCTGCAGGGGGGCACCAGCTGCACCTGGTGGGCCACTGCACTTCCCTGCTAGGGCAGGGTCTCCATTTCTGCTCGCCGTGTGCGGGATCAGGACCCTGCACTGTCCTGGAAGCTGCCAGCCCTGCTTGGTTGTGCCTCCGTGTCTCACTCCGAACTCCATCTCAATCGCACGTCCCTGGGGTCTCCAGGGGACACACTTGGCTGCAGCAGTCTCACTTGCTTGGTTCCTTTGCAGAGAGTTTGCTGAGTGCTTGAGGAAGGAGCCCGAAGGTCCTGGTCAGCCATCGGAGCGGAGGTAACTGTGCCCTGCTGCTTGACGTGCCTCGTCCTTAGCTGCTCTCCTTTCCATTGCTTGATCTCCCTTCCCATGCAAACCGGGTGTTTTGGTGGGGTTTTGGGTTTTGCTGTCAGGCATGCTTTAACGTGACATGGAGCTGCAGCAGCAAAGAAACCCACCCCTGGGCCCATTGCTACAGCCTGGGGTCATTAGTGAAGTGACCCACATCTGGCCTGTTCCCTGGTCCCATCCAGTGAGGGGTCCAGTGGCACGTGCCGGTCCAGTGTTGCCCATGCCCATCTCCTGGGGTTAGGCTCTGTAATGCATGACCATGGTCCTATGAGTTTGCTGCTTGCTACTGCAGAGCATGCCCCAAGACTTCCCCCCTCCATTAACCCCTCTGCCCATGGCAGCAGCAGCTCTCTACGACCTGTTGGTCCCTGGTACTTCACCAGTGCTTGCTCCGTCAGGGGCCTTGGCCCTTCTCCAGCAGTTCTTCATTCCTCTGACGATCCAGACGCTCTCTCACAGTCCAAATGAATCTGTCTGCTGGGCTGTTTTTTGTCTCCTGCCACATTGTGCCATTTCCCCTAGCAGGCTCCTCCGGTCTGTGAGCTAAGCCAGAGCAGCCTGGACCAGGAGGGTGTTGGGGGAAAGCTAGATGATTTTTTGTCTCTGGTGCTGCCCCCCACCACCCTTCAAGGGCAAGAGGAGCTTTTTCTCTTGTAGGAAATAAATGTTTGCTTTGGGGGTATGCGTGAGATGCCAGCCAGGCATCCCTGCACTGAGAGGTCATCACCTTGTGCTTGGAGCATGGGGAGTTGGACTTGGGTTCCTAGTCTCGGCTCTGCCATTCATTCGCTGAGTGACTTCCCCGCTCCGTGCCTTGGTTTCCCCGCTATGTAAAATGGGCATAAGGTTGATGGCCTTGCAGCATGAGGGCATCTGTCAGGTTCCAGTCTCTCTCCACCTAGTGCTGGGTGGCAGAGCCCTGGCTGTCCCAGCGTGGTGGCTGGGGCATGACTGTGCTCCCTTGCTTCCCCCAGGTACCATGTCTCAGTCCAAGGGCACGGTGGTGCTTGCCTACAGCGGCGGCCTGGACACCTCCTGCATCCTGGTCTGGCTGAAGGAGCAAGGCTATGATGTGATTGCTTACCTGGTAAGAAGCTACAGCCTGTCTCCCTGTGCTCCCTGGCTTTGCTAGCCTGTCTCCCTCGGGTGGGCAAGGCAGGGTGTGTGATGGGCTCTCAGCAGCCAAGTGCTTCTGTTCTCTCTGCCTGGCAGGGGCAGAGCCTGGTGTGACAGCAGGAGCAGGGGGGGATCTGCTTGGGGGGACGGGTTGACTGGACTCTACAAATCACAGCGGTGTTTGCACCCCAGTGCTCCTTGAGCTCTGCTCGCATGGCAGCTGAGGCTGCAGCAATGCTCTGTTGCTTTCTGTATAATATAACGCTTCTCAGAACATGTGGGGCCATGGAGGAGCCTGCTAGGGCTGGGACACCCTCCCTGTACAGCAAGAGAGAGGTGTGACCACCCTCCCTGGGGATGGGCCACTGGACCCCAGCATTCCCCCCGTGGCCTAGCAGAGCTATGGGCTGCATCTCATTATGCCAGGTGGGAAATGGGCAGGTGTGAGGCCTCATTAATGGGTTCCAGGGGAATGCACCCAATTGCCAACCCTTTCCCTATTAGCCTCCTGGAGTGGCAGAGACCAGCTGGGTATGTGCCAAGGGACCAGGCACTGATCCAGCTGGCAGGGGGTCATGAGAATCAGCCTGGACTCTGGGTCAGGGATTGTTGTGGCAGCAGGGATTTAATGGCTGGGTCACAGCAGAAAAGGGGATGTGGCCATGCATGGCCTGGGGAGGCTGGTAAAGGTTAATAGCAAACAGAGTGGAGCATCATTCCCACTGCTCGATGGGCAAGGGTCACCGGCACAGCCGTACATCCTCGGGCTTGGGCTCATCGCAGGAACGGGGTTGGAGTCCTCCCGGCACGTGTCTCAGCAGCCCGGGCAGTGAATGGGATCTCCCCTGGCTGAGGGCAGCCTTCGCTGTCAGGTAGGGGTGTCCTCTAGCCATGCAGCTGGGGCAAGCGGGACCTCCACTCTAACCCCGCCATAGCCTGGAGCCTTCTGCCCTTCGGGGTCATCTTTCCCCGTGGGATAAGGCCAGAGGATTCTGGGTTCCTCCTTGCTCCACAGTCTTGGAGACTCCTTGGCCAGAGCTTGGCGGGGTTGAGTTCACGTTCCAGGTCCTCACTTCTTGTGCTTTCTCTCATTCTCGTTTCCAGGCCAACATTGGGCAGAATGAGAACTTCGAAGAGGCGAGAAAGAAAGCGCTGAGCCTGGGAGCCAAAAAGGTAACGCCAGCCCCCAGCATCTCCTGTGCTGCTCCGTGTTATTCAAAGGCCTCTCCCTCCTCTCATGCCGAGGAGGGCAACAGACCTGCAGGTCCTGGCAGGGGCTAAAGTAATGAGCCCTCCCCGGCAGATCGAGGGCAGGAGTACTGAATAAAATACGTAGTCGATGCACAGGGGGGCTGGGCTGGGATTCTGGACCATGAATCTAGACCTCTGCCATTTGGGCGGTGGGAGAGCTGCTGTCCCTGCAATGCTAAACAGCTATTTACTTCCTCTGTGTGCCCTGCCACCAGAAGGGGGGCCATCCCTCATGCCCCCACACAGTCTGTGTGGTGCATCTATGCAGCCTTATGGCCCCATTGGGCCATTGGGACCTGCGCACTCAAACGGGGGGGGCCATCTCCAGCCTCAGAGCTGGGCCACCTCTGGTAAGGATGGCCAGCTACCCTTCCTCCTGCATGAAGCCAGGAGCATTTCCGGCGATTCCTCTCACCTACAGATTACCGAGCTGCTGTTAACGCCCAGGTGCAAAGCACTGCATGGAGCCAGCTCTCCATAGCAGGGGTTCCCAAGTTGTAAGAAGTGCTTCATGGGGTTCCTCTCCCCTTTCTCAACCCACAGTTGGATGATGAAGGTGGATGCCAGCCTGCAAAGCTTTTGGCCTGGGAAGTTTAGGATCCATCTTCCTGGAGCAGGAACTAAAGGCTATCTCTTCTTTAGCTTCTACCCAAGTTCCTGTCCTGTTTTCTCTTCTCTTCCATCTAAATGTCAGCACCTCTTTCCTATGCTTTCTCTCATTCCCTGTTTCTTTTCCTCTTCATCTATTTATTTTACCCTGTTTTTAAAAAATCCTTTTCCTGCCATAATTTTTTGGGTTTTTTAAAATTGTTCCTCTAAAACTTTCTCTTCCTGCCTCTAAATATCAGAAGATGCCCTTGAGGTGTTGGTGGGTACCAGGGGTTGCATATGGAGGAATAGGCTGCTGGTTGCACCCAGACAAGGACAGCTGGATTTGGATTCACTCCATTTTGGGGGCATTGGGTGCCATAAAGAAGTTTCTGCCATCAAATATCTGTTCTTGGAGTGGTTTGTTTTCCAGAGCTGTTGATGCAGAACCTTTTACAAGTCACTAGAAGAGGGAAAATTCTCATTTGACTCATTAGTTGTACTAGTACCGTTACACCATCCATTGAACTTTATGATGCTGCACCAGGGATGAATTGGGCCCATTCTTCGAAGAAAATGTAGCTGGATCTTTCTGGAGTCTGAGAAAAAAAATGAGGACTATGGGTGCAGCCAGTGGGACGCTGTGGAGCAGGGTGAGGTCTAATGATAAATAGACCATCCCCACCAGTTCCAAGCACCCTATGCCGATAGGAGTTTCCTAGGCCACTCTCATTGCTTGGGGCTTTCTCCTTCTGCAGGTTTACATCGAGGACATCAGCAGGGAATTTGTGGAGGAGTTCATCTGGCTGGCAGTCCAGGCCAATGCCCTGTATGAGGACCGGTATCTCCTGGGCACCTCGTTGGCCAGGCCTTGCATTGCACGTAAGCAGGTGGAAATCGCCCAGAAGGAAGGGGCTCAGTACGTCTCCCATGGAGCCACGGGGAAGGTAAAGGAAGGGAAGAGGTTTACCTTAGTCTAAGTTGGGTTTTGGGTGCTTGTGAATATGGGATTCCCTGATGGGTGAGCATGGAGCTTCCCCAAGGACCAGCTCGGATACATTTGGGCCTTGAAATGCAATTTGTGGTCATCCATCACACTCTTAGCTGTCTCCTTGGGTCATTACAGAGCAGCAATAAGCACTTGTTGCCACCTTCCAAACAGACCTGGATCCTTTACTGTGTCGGGGAATTAGCCTGCTTGCCACCCCCATCCCCTGGGCGACATGAGCTCCCTTCTCTTTCACCCTGTAACCAGGGACATAGGAAGATGATTTGGTCAAGGTTACATGTGTCCCTTCTCTAGGACTCTTGGCTGGGAATTTTATTTCCATATTTTTTAATGGAAAATGTAGCTTGAAAAAAATGTCAGGTTTCCCAAGTAAAATGTTACCATACTTCTTCATTTTTTTTATCCTTTGGGAAACCAGGACAAAATATTTGGGGCTGTTGAGCTGAACCAAAGTGTTTTGGGCTATCTGATATGAATCCTGTGCCTGCCTGAGTTGTCCTGATGCCTCCTGGCAATTTTAGTAGACTAGGCTACATTTCCCAGAATGCACTTCCCTCAGCCATTATACCCATTGCCATGGTGCATTATTGAAGTGCCATAGCTGTGGCACATTGTTGGACTGGCCTGGGAGCCTGGCTCAGAGAGGAGAAATGGGAGCATGAGGTTTTTGGGACAACATCTTCTATAGACATGATGTGCAGCTGAATGGATGTAGATTAAAGTCAAAACTGGGCGCGTCTACATTAACATGCATGCATTAACGTGCTTTAGTTAACACACATTAAATCTAGTACTTCCATTGTAAAGTACTAAGAAAATATGCATTGGCCTATCTTAATGCGCATTAATTAAAGATCATGATTTTTAAGTGACACTTACTGTGCATTAGCCTATTTTAATGAGCATTAACTAAGTAGCATGGTATTTAAAGTGATGCTTTAATGTACATTAAAATAGGCCAATGAGCATTAAAGTGCATGTGTAGATGCACTGAATCCAAACTTCCAAGCTGAGACTCTTCTGAATTGTCTCTTCCATGTCAGGATATATTAACTTACTCGGGGTCTTTAATAAATTTGGAAATATTAAATGTCCCCGGGGATGGAAACTCCCACATGCAGTCAATTCTGGGCAGAATCTGCTCTTAGGATAAAAACATCCCAGGCATGCTTCAAGGGGGATAAAGAAGGACTTCCTTTGACCTCACTGGTCATATTCCAAGGGAGATGGAAGGAGAAAATTGCTGCAAATCTCTGATCTGGAACAGCTTGTTTTTCTCCTGGGGGGGTGCATGTGATTGCATGTGTCTGGTGCGTGGGGAATGCTCCAGCGGTGGTGCTGAGGCCGTCAGGGCTGGAGGATACCCGGGCAGCAGTGCAGCCAATGGCCCCTCTTGCTGCCTGGGCCCCAGTTGTGGAAGCGGGTGCTGCGGGCAAGGTGTGGCACTAGGGGAGGTGCTGAGGGGCAGGACTGCCCACTTCTGCAGCTCAGGGCTGCTGCAGTTCTGAGAGGCGATGCAGAAATGGATGTTTTTAAGTCGTACCAGTACCTTCCACCCTCCTTTTATTTTAGGACTAATCTTTTTCTCTCCTCACCTGAAAGCTCTGCTCCAACTGCTTGAGGGTTAGCAGGTGGGGCTGGTTCTCCTCATTTGGACTGCCCTGAAGAGATGGGAGGCACAGGTGATGAAGTGAGC